CCGCCCTATGGTGATGGGCGAGGTGAAGATTCTGAAACGTGGTGAAGCGTTGACCAAGCCGGTGCCTTTGAAGGACGATAACAGAAAGGTGAGTGGTGGAGTAGTTGAAGATTTGGTGTTGTCGACTACAGATCGGCTTGGTCCAGAGCCGAATATGGTGCCGAAGCAGATAAGGATCGGTGATTTTTATGCTGGATCGGCTTTTGTAACTTCACCGCCTCCGAGCTCTTTGCCTGTGCCGGCTTTCTTCAACAAGAAGAAAAGTGAGAGTACCAACGATGCTACTAGTGACTTGAGGCGTCTTCTCAGGCTCGATCTGTCATGAACGGTGGGAGTAGTTGAACAATAAAACTTGAGCTTTGTTTGTTGCAGTTATGGTGATGATCCTGGGATGGTAAAGTGATGGTGGTGTTGATGGTGATGGGGGTTTAAGTCTTTGAATAAGAAGTTTGTGTTTTGCTCCCGGCTCGCGAAAACTTCCCTTATTTTTTCAAGGGGAAGGACGAGTTGGCAAAGCAATTTGTCAAATTTCCTTGTTTAAGTTCCTTTATTGTACCTTCCGTTATAGCAGAAAAGTAGATCTAGCTTAGGTTGCTGTTTTGGGTTGATTTAGAATATACTAGTAACTTGTATAGTCTGGTCAGAAGTTTGAGTCTTTCGTTTAAGCCTTTGTTGTTCTTATTTTAGGGTCAGTAGGTCTAATTTCAGTAGGGTAGTGGCTTAGAGCAATTAAAAGCTCTGTAATACCCTTCTGTATCTTATGTTGTGTCTCTTTGTTTTTATTTATGTCTTTATCTTTATAGTTTATGTTTCATGAAGCAGTAATGAGAAATTTTATATTTTTTGTGTCACACACTTTTGCTTGGTTTCGAAATTTGCTCTAATTCTGAGTAATTCTTATGGCTGGGAATTGAAGACTTTCTGTTTATTTTTTATTTGTTTCTTTTTTTCTGTAAGTTAGGGGACCTTGGCGATTGTTTATATTTTCACGGTAGTCGTTGTGTAACAAATAACTGCGCTCAGTCAATTTTGCGTGCTTAATGAAATTGATTGTGTTTTTGAGTGTGTTTCTTGTTTCATCTCCATCCAGAGTAACAAGGTAGAACATCACTATCTAGATGGTTAATAGGTAGTGTCTCCATTGAGTTCTGCTCATCTCTTACTCCATTTCATGGGTAACCTACTTCAAGCTTCAAGTATTTTTAGTTATATTGTTAAATTTGCTTTAGTTCTCTTGGTTTGAGTTTTGCAAACTACTTTCAGATACACTGTTGCATTGAACATATGTTTCTCCTTACATTGAAAAGTACACTTTATGGCACTTTACTTGATCAAAAAACAAAGAACAGTTCTTTATCTCATTGCTATCCCCCATGAACCTCTGAACCTTACCCCCCAAATAAACTTCTGTGTCACCAGTCCACACATTGCTTTCCTCATGCATTCTTCATGATAGCAGATAATGCTGGGATGTGTGGTAGCCAAGGGTTGGCCTACATTTGCGGGGCAAAAGGAGTCTAGAACAATCATATATTATACTGCTGTTCTGGTTTTCGAGAGAAATAGATGGATAGAATGAAGAGCAGAGCTCTAATGGGCAAAAGGAAGGGTCTAAGAAAAGCAAAGGGAAAAACTATCATGGCTGCATGACTTCCCCCAGGTAATTTCCTCAAGTGTCACCACCTCAACCCCTTTTGGTTATACCTCTTCCACTTTGAGTTTTTGGCTTAAACTTGAATATAATATTCAATGTGATTTTGTGTCTTGACTTGTTCTTTAGTTAGTATTTCTGATTGTATTGAATTTTGCTCAGTTACTTCCTTTTGAATCTGCTTTTATTTGGAATTAGGGTTTTATCAACTGTATGCTTCCGTATTATCTGTATAAGTAAGGTTTACCGACAGCACGCTTCTGTATTATCAGAATCTGAGCATTGAGACATCCTTGCCCCGACCCCCCAAAACCCTCTCTCCTAACCATAATTTAAAAGGAAAGATAGAAAACATAAAAGACTGATCAGAATATATTTTGACTTTCTGTCTTAAGAGCTGTACGGACGAGCATTGCAGGTCACTTCTTGTCTTTGATGTGATTGGATGCTCACGATGCCCTTGACGAAAGGCAAAAATCTTTCTTCTATGAATGCAGCATTTCTGGTGCTTTATGACGCTATTGTATCCTTCCGATTCTGTTTTACACTGTTTGGTTACTGTATTGATTGTCTGTATCCGATGTGCAGTTCGGTGCATCTTGATTGTGTTTTAGGCCCGTTAGATGCTGCTGCAAAATTGTGAATTTGTATTACGTTTTCAGAATTATTGACTTCCCAATTGTGTCTGATGTAAGGATTGTTCTACATTATAATTATTATCTTATATGTCATTGAGTGCTTTTGATGAAAGTTTACGAGCCTCCCAGAAAGCAAACATTATTTTTCTTAGCAATTAATTACCATATGCCCACAATATATAAGAATTATACGAAGGATAATACATGTCTTAGCTGAACAAAAATATCAAAACATAGGACATTCTATCTGACAGGACAAAAATTAAAATAAGATCCTACCGTAAAACATGGTTCATTTGTGAGCCCTTCCGAATGATATACTTTTAAAGAGTCAGGATAAGACATACCACTGAAACGGACGTCGGGTACAGCATTTATTTATGGTGCTATGTGATGCTATTGTATCCTTCTGCTTCTGTATTACGCTGTTTTGTCATTGTATCGATTGTCTGTATCTGACATGCGATTCTGTGAGTCTTGTTTGTGTTTTAGGCCAATTAAATGCTGCTGCTAAAATGTGAATTTGTTTGACGTCATACAAATTAATGGCCTTCCAACCGTGTTTCTGATGTTAGGATCGTTCTACATTTTAATTGTTATCTTTGAGGTCATTGAATGCTTATGATGATTGTTTCTTACCCTTGAACAGAAAGCAAAGATCTTTTTTTTTTCCCCGTTGGAAAGCAGAATTGTGGCTCAGTGCATGATGTTTGTATTTCAGGACAAAAATACTTTCTGTTAGATGGCGAGTGATTGTAGGTTGAGGCTATGTATATCATCTGTTGGATGGCAATGCATTTAATGCGGATTTGAGAGATTTGGGAATGGATTCAGGAGGAATAGAATATGGATTAATATATCATGT